CAGTTTGAGTCCTGGACCCAGTGGCTTAAAACTCACGCTGGGTGGGTGTGCATGTGGGCCCCAAATCCTGAGAGAACAAAGATTGTGGTGTGGCCATCCCCTCGGGGGGTGATTTCTTGCTTCCTGTCTCTCATATGGCCATCCATGGTTTGATTCCTGGACCTGGCAGCTTGTCACTCATGTGGGCATGTGGCAAGTGCACACACTCTATAGCAAAAGTCTCTTTTAACATTTTTTTTTTCATTGTTGGATATATGTACTCCTGGGGGACAGAAAGAGAGAGAGAGAGAGACAGAGAGAGAGAGAGAGAGACAGAGAGAGACACTGAGAAAACACCCCCCCCCCGGGGGGACGACTATCTTGTAATCCCTTCTCCATTTCTCAAGCCACTGGGTCAGGCATGCGAACCACAGCATTGGCTATGTAGGCTACACCACCCCACGATCAGCTGGCCCTACATTACAGTTTGTGTGACTGGAAACACACAGGGAGCTGTGAGACCATTAGCAGGTAGAGCTGACTTCACTGGGGCTGAGTGAGTATGTGAGGATGTCAGGGAGGTTTTTCTGAAGAAGCGGTGTAGAAACTGGGTTCTGAAGGATGAATAGTGATTAGCCAGCCTGCGTGTGTACCTGTGCATGGGCGCGTGCAGGTGTAAAAGACGTCACAGAAGGAACCGAAGCGCAAAGGCACAGACGCAGGAAGGAGAGTTTGGATTATTCCAGAACCGAATGAACACCAGCATGGTTGGGCTGCTGTGCAAGAAGGATTAGAGGTGTGGGTAGGGGTTCTGTAGGCCAGAGCTTTGTGCCTGCCCAGTGGGTATGACTGGGGGCTGCTTAGAAGGGAAGAGAATTTGTATTCTCTATTACCTTCCCAGAACAGTCAGTAATAACCTTGCCGCTTCAATCAAAGCAGTTTTATGGGGTACAATTTTCACTCTGCTGCAACAAAAATATTCAAGAACCAACTTACTGTCTGGACAAAGAAAATTTTGGTTTATTTATAGTTTTGGTAGGACTTTTGTAAGCATCACATGTGTGGTGGTCCGTTTTTCTGTTGCTACTGTGGAATACCACACCCTGGGTAATTTACAAGGAAAAGACATTTATTTCTTAACAGTTCATGAGGCTGGGAGGTCCAAGGGCATGGGCTAGCATCTGGGGAGAGTCACGCTATGGAAGGAGGTGGCAGCAAGCACAGGAGACAGAGCACGCAGGCGGTGGGCTCCTCTCCGTAACAACCTGTTCTGGTGAAACTAACCCACTCCTGAGACAGTGATGTTAGCCCACTGAGGAGGCCTCTCCCCTCGTGACCCACATGCCTCCCAGTGTTGCTGCATTGGAGATTATGTTTCCAGCACCTGAATTTGGGGGACACGTTCAAACCACAGCAGCATGCTTTTTTCCCTTCTCACAAAATGCCTAATTTGTCTCTTGGGAATACAGCATCTAGGTTTTAATGTATTTACCTGGAAAACAGTGGATCAGTTGTTATTGGTTCAATCCATTTGTTTCCTACAGAAAAGAAAAAGTGATGAATTATATGGTGAATAGTTGGTGGTCTTCAAGCCTTCAAATGAGATCTGATCAAGAGTGCCCCATAACGATGGTGCTGTTCACTGATACGAGTGAGGGTAGTAAAAGAAAAGGCCTGGGGCCGGCAGGTGGCACAGTGGTTAAGGGCGCTGGACTCCCAGATGGCCGACTGCCATTCGAATCCCAGACTTGGCAGCTTGCTTTCTCACTTTCCCTCTTTCTCTCTCTCTCACTCTCGCGATGTTCCTCTCTGGTCAAATTAAAAATAAATAAACAAGTAAAGAAAATTAAATAAAATAAGCCTTAAAAAAAAAAAGGCCTGGGCAAGACATTGAGTTTTAATTATTTTTTGTTTGATATAGCTATTAGATTACACGGGGAGGTGCCAAGTAGACAGTTGATATACGAGGAGGTCAGGGCAAAAGATACACATTTGTGAATCATTAACATTAAATTTTTTTTTTTTGGAGAGGTTTTTGCTATAGGGCGAGTGTGCTCGCCAGACAGACAGAGACAGAGAGACAGAAAGCGAGAAATCACCCCCAGGGGGGATGGCCACACTGCAATCCTTTCTCCTCTTGGGATCTTGGGCACACACGCACACGCGCCCGGCGATTAACACTAAATGTTAACAGGAACAGGAGTAACCGACATCAGATAAGCACATGTAGGTTAGCTCTGGTCTTTACTTGTCCTGGGGAGGAGAAAAGAGATTAAACAAGGAGACTGGGAGATAGCTGGGAAAGGAGGAAAACTGAGGAAATGCTGTGACAGAAGCCAAGAGAAGAGGGTATGGCATTGATAATCGATATGGAGAAAGGTTTAAAAATGAAAGGAAATATACAAATCAAGAGGTTTATATTTTATTTCCTGGTTTATAGTGAAATGTAAACTTAGGGTTTTTTTATAACCTCTTTTTTTTTTTTTTTAAATAAGCTCTTTTCTTATTTGCCTCTTTGATATCCATAGATAAGTTGCTAGGTGTGTTAGCTGTGGCCCTCCCCAGAGCAGTCCAGACAGGAATTTCTTGCTCTAGATGTCCCTTCTACAACACTTCCCTTAATCTTCTTGCTGGTTTTTGGCACCCTGCATTTCAGAGTATTTCTCTACCTTTCCCAACTTTACAGATGATTTTCCTCTCTCTGAAGGACCTGCTTTTTCCCCTTTGATAAGGAAAGTCCTCTCTTACCTGTGCACTGAGGTTCCCCTTGAACTTCAGGCCATCTGTCACCGTCAAGGCAGTAACTCTTCCCTCTCTCTTTCCTATGAAGCCTCCGTGAGTCTATTCCCAGAAGCCTTTCCTTCTTTCTGATGAAACTTTTTCGTCCTATGCCACTGACTGATAATGTCATTAATAGCCAATGTCTGAGATTAATGTTATTTTGATAAATTTTGTTTTTCTCTTCTATTGTTTGCAGCTGTCATTTCAGTTTCTCCACACTCCAAGTCCCCCACCCCTTCCTTTTGAATACTGAAGTCTTGAGAGCTGGTCTCGATCCCACAGTCTCCAGTTCAGGGGCCTGCTCTGACAACCTGGAGCTGTTGAAAATGTTGTACTTAATTTAAAAAAAGGTGATTTTAAAATTTTAGTAGGATTTAATTGGTTTAAAAAAAATCACAAAAACTGTGCATGAAAAGTATGTTTTTCAAAGACTGTAGCCATTTGGCTTCTGTTGTTCCTTTTTACTTTTCTATCTGTATCTATTTAACAATTTAGAGACACGTGCAGGGAATCACGGAATAGAAAAGTGAGGATATATCATAGAGAAGATAGGTAAAGGACTGCCTAAGGCGAAGCAAAGGAAAGCCCTTGGACAACTGCTGAGCACCAGGTATAGAAAGCAACGAGCTCAAGATGGAACAGCAGGTCAGTGACTTCTGCAGGGCTGTCTCTAGAAGAACATAAAGTGGATAAATTACTTAACAGGCTCCACAGGTGGAAAATTACATTGAGAATCATTTTTATAAAGCTAATGGAGGGTGCAAGTTGTCAGATGTCCAGTGGAAAGAAAGGGAAAAATGAGGCAACTGTCAACTCCAAGAAAAATGAAAAGTTGTGTGAGAAAGGAAATGTAATCCTAGTCACTTCTTGGCTCAGGAACCAATAGTATTTTATGGGTCATATTTTATGGGGTTGCATTTTTGGATAGAAAAACACATCATAATTTCATAACAACCTAAGAAATAATTGAATATATATTGAACAAAAACTAGGTGAATTTATATTAGCAGGGTGGGGGCAGAGAAAAAACAAGTGTGAGCACATATAATAGGAAGTGAAAAGATGTGTGTATATGTGGAGAAGGGGAAGGATGGGAGTAGGGGATCTAAAATGAGACTACAGTTAGTTATATGCCTTCTAAAGCAATATTTGACTTTTTTGGCAGGTAAAACTGATAAGCAAAAACACACAGTAGAAGGGATGCTGGACTCCCACATAGCTGATGGTGGTTCAAGTTCCGGACTCGGTGATTGGCTTTCTCACTTTCCCTTTCTCTCTCTCTCTCTCTGGTCAAATTAAAAAATAATAATAACAAACAGAATTAAATAAATAAATAATTCTAAATAAAATGCAGTAGAACTATGTATTTTGACTTTGGAAAATTGTTTGAGAAACATCGTTATGCAAAAAAGATAATTGAAAAAAAGATTTTATCTTGATAAAAGATACATCTTGAAATTCATGCATGGTTTTTTCATATTATGCCTTTTCCACGAACTATTTGAAAACGCTTGTATTTATCATACGCTGTGAAAGGAAGGAATTTGCAACTTGAGCAGAAAAAAGGCAAGAAATGACTTTGAGGCAGGATGAGGGTATCCCCTCTCCTTTCTCACTGTGCTGAAGGTTTGTGAAAGTTTCTGTGAATTCTGGAGGATATAATGTAATAATAATAATATCAGTAATACAATAACTGATGTTTATCAAGCTCTTTTATGCTAAGGTATATTGTCTTATTTAATTCTCACAAAACACCGCAACATATTCATTCATTTATATAAAAATATTTATTGAACATTCGGTATGTTCTGGTCACTCTTCTAGGTACCAGAGTTACAATGATAAATAAAACAGAGTCATTCCTACTTCTTAAGAACTTTGATATAGTGGAGAAAATAGACATTAAACAAATAAAAATAAATATTTTTTTATTACTGACATATATGAAATACAAGGTGTAACAAAATAGTAAGGGAATCTACTTTAGACAGAGAGGTCTGGGAAGAGTTCTTTAGGAAGTCTATATATTTAAGTTGTGACCTGCAGAAGGAGGAACCTAGCAGGTAGAAGACAGGCCTTGATGCAAATGTAAATAACTAATATATGCTGGTCCCATGGAATAGTAGTTAAGGGAACTGGATCTCATGTGGCTGACTGCATTATTTAAATCTCGGATCTGGCATCTTGAAAATAACACCGGGCACGTGGGCATGCATGTCCCAAATTCCAAAAGGACAGAAAAATGGAGTAGAAGCGATTGTGGCATGACCACACCCTACTGGTGGTGTTTCCTCTCTGTCCCTCTCTCTCTGGAGAACACATGCACCCTCTGGCAAATTAAAAACAAAAATCAAAACCAAAAACTAACCTAGAGGACTATTTCCTCTCATAGAAGAGCTGCAGGAAGATCGAGGGCAAAGAGTGCAGGGGGAGCGAGGCTAACTGAGGCTGATGTGGCCTATCAAGGCTGGATTTTATTCTGAGTGCAGTGGGTGGGTGGAGGGGCTTCAGGGTTTTAAGTAGGCAAGTAAAGGATGGGGTCTATATTGAAAAACACTACACTGACTGTTTTGGGGAAAATGCATTGGAGAGGGACCACAAAAGTGGGGAGAGATGTTTGGAGGTTATTGAAACATTCCAGGTTAGAGGGGGTGGTGGTGGGTTTAGGATGGTGGTGGAGGACTTGAAGAGCAGTGAACAGGTCTAAGATATATTTTGGAGGGAGAGTCCAAGGTCTTGGACTCTCTTGGTGGTAGAGAAGCTGAAGTCAGGCATGATGCAGATTCTGGGTTTAAGCAATGGACTTGGTATATTACCATCCTCCTCCTTTTGCAGTTTAGGATACTAAAGCTCCAAGAGGTTAGATAGCATGCCCCAGGAGGTATGACTAGCAATTGATGTATCAGAATACAAGTATGGGCCCATCCAACTGGAGACTACACGGGCAACCAACACACTAGACTCTCTCCTGATGGGTTGCAACACTGCTGCTTTCTTCAAGGAGAGAAGTGGTTATCTTCTGAATTATGATCTCTCTGTCACGCATAACTCCATTCACTTAGTTTCCAAAGAGAGATTCAACACACAGGTGTGTTCTCCAAAGTATGCTCTGGCCAGAAGTGGACTGGAAGTATTATTTGGATCACACATTGGGATGATGTTACTCCTTCAGTGTTTGTCCTAGAGAAGCAATTTCAAGTCTGAAGGACTGGAAGCCATAACCCTAAGTATCCAGGTTCTGTTTGCCAGCAGAAAATCAAGTTTTCTGCTCTTTGTGCTCTCCCATCAGACCAGGAGAAGGTGTGTCATTCCTGAATTCCTTTGAGGTCTCTCAGAAACTTAGACGACATTGTCCAGGGCAGTTGGCCTGGAGGAAATGGGTTTACTCTATGGAAAAAAAGAGGAAAGTGAAGTAAGTTAACAGGCACCCGAACCTCAGCCCAACCCTCATATCTGCAGAGAGAGGACTACAGAACAGCAATGAGTAGATAGCAGGGATATTGATGACACAGGCAGGATTATATTAAAAACCAAGTAGGTCGAAGACTCGATTATTAGTTATGATCCGAATTCATGATAACTTCTTGGATACATTTTGGTGGTGTCCCAAGACTTTCTGTACCCTGTTGATATCTGTACATCTGTAAAATGGCCCTTTTGCTTTTGCTTTCTTTGTGAAATGACAGATCTCAGGAGAGATGTAAGAATGTTAATACATAGGCCAAGCATGGGCTTACCTCTTTGGAATTATTAATTGTGGAGTAAATTGTGACAGAATCATTGTTCTTCACAGGTGTTGGGATTTCCGTTTCCTGTGAAAAGAAACATACCCATTTGGCTTACACAGAGACAAAGAAATTTATGCGGAGATATATTCTTGGGAAAGACAGTGTGACAAAGAAGGAATATGCCAAGCTTCTTTTGGAGGAAAGATAGGGAATGTTTATCAAGAGGAGCTAGACCATGTTCCAAATACCACCTGTTCTTAGACCCATGAAGGTTTAGTGGCATTTTCTATGCTTTCAAACAGAAGCACAATGCCCCAGTAAATTGGTGGGTTTGAGAACCAGAGAGAGGAGTCAGGTGGTGGTATAGCAGGACCACAACTAGACTCACATGGACAAGGTCTTGGGTTCACATCCTGGGATCTCCTTATGCATATCAAGTATATACCACATGCCTGTGACCCATGCTGGCTGAGACTGGTGGTGGATCATGGCATGAGGACCCTTTTAAGGGTGCCTGATTCTATGTCTCTTCCTCTCTCTGTGTCTCTCTCATGGAATAAAAATGTGAACAAATTCTGAACAACAGCCAAAAGAACCAGAGAGAGATGGAAAAATGCCCTCATAATGTGAAGGAAAGAAGTATTCTTCTGCATCCAACTCTACTCTCCTTCCTCTGTTTTTTTTTTTCTTTCAGTTTTTGCTATAGGGCACATGGACTCACCAGAGAGATAGAGAGAGAGATAAAGAGACAGAGAGAGTGAGAAAGGGAAAATGAAAAAAATCATTCCTCAGGGAGGATGGCCAAGCCATTATCTCTTCTTCCATTCTCTTCTCAGTATTTTGAGCAAGCATGCACATGTGCCTGGCTTGAGTTTCAAGCTGCCGGACCTGGGACTCATACCATAGGGTCAGTTATGTGGAAGCCAGTGTCTTAATCTCCATGCTACCTACTAGCCCCTTCCTCCATTTTTAAGAATGAGTTTATGGGGACCAGCAGATGGCATAATGATTAAGTCGCTGGACTCTCACATGGCCAGTCACGGTTTGAGTTCCAGACTCAATGGCTTGAAACTCACACCAGGTACGTGTCCATGTGTGTTCAAAATCCTGAGAGGAGAATGGAGGGGAAGGGATTATGGCATGACCACCCACCTGGGGGGTGATTTCTCACTTTCTGACTCTCCGTCTCTCTGGGAAACACACGTGCCCTATAGCAAAAATCTCTCTTTAAACAAACAAACTAAAGAACTAACTTATGGGGGATGGCAGGTGGTATGGTGGTTTGGTAGTGGGACTTCCACATGGCCAAAAGTGGGTTGGGTCCCAGACCTGGTGGCTTGATTTCTCACTTTCTCTCTCTGTCTCTCTCTGGTGAGTGCACATGCCCTGTAGCAAATAAAAAAAATAATAAATAAATAAAATTAAAATAAAGGATTCTTTAAAAATGTTTTAAAAAAGAACTAACTTACGTACTAGATAGGTATTGATTTATACCTTTTGTCTTGGGTTTTTACTAGCTATAACTGAAGCTGCCCATTTTGCCTGTTCATTTGTTCCTGTAATTCAAACTACCTGGTTGCCAAGTCATCAGTGTCTCCTCAAGCATGAGAACCAGTAGAATAGATCCCCCCAAACTTAAGAATGGCTCTGGGGACCGGCAGATGGCACAATGGTTATGTCGCTGGACTCCCATGTAGTCGACTGAGGTTAAAGTCCCAGACCTGGCAGCTTAAAACTCATCCCAGATGCATGTGTATGTGTGGCCCAAATCCAGAGATGAAAATGGAGGAGAAGGGATTGTGTCATGGCCATCACCCCTGACAATGATTACTCACTCTCTGTCTCTCTGTCTTTCTGGAGCGTGCACAGGCCCTATAGGAAAAATCTTTCTAAAATAAAAAAAGAATGGCTCTGGCTAGGCCAGCAGGTGGTGTGATGGTTGAGGTGCTGGGTTTCCACATGGCTGATAGTGGTTCAAGTCCTAGACCTGGTGGCTTGCTTTCTCACTTTCCTTCTCTGTCTCTTTCTGGTCAAATTAAAAAAAATAATAAAATAATAATTAAAAAAAAGAATGATTCTGCCTGGAACACAAGTACAGTAATAACAGAAGTTCCCATATCCTTCACTGAACCTACTCATAAATTTTAATGCTTTAAGTTAATTAAGGAATATTTAGAGAATTATCAAGACCTCAGGAACTCTCTAAAGTGGATTTGTTTGTTTGTGTTTTGCTAAAGAGAAAGCTAACACATTTTCTGGAGTTTAGTTTCTCGATTTGTTGGAGAGGATTCAGTTTGTCTTCAAGAGGAAATTGGAGAGTCAATAGAAATATTTGATGAGGTGAGAGCAACTCTTCTTGTTCCCTTTCTTCGAGGCTCCTATTTTGCAAATACCTGTGAGGGGCCATGTGAAGGGAGATTTACTTGGAGAAATCCAAGGTTTTCAGCTGGATTATCATGTTCAGCATTTAAAAAATGACAGGGGTTACTTTTGTTTTTGGTCCTATTTTTCAGAAGATATGGAGACTGCCCTCTCAGGATATGTAGTTATTTAGAAATATGCCACCTGCAAGTGTCTTATTTAGAAGTGGTGGGGGGTTTCGATGCATGACGGAGGAGTCCTTGATGCTTGACCAAGGTTATCCTGTTACGTTGCTAGAGGGGAGGGGAGGAGTGAGGGTTGCTCATGCATTTAGTGTCTTCTGACTTCCTCTAAATGCTCCTGATACCCTAACAATGATCTCTTTCTTTCTTTAATGTTTCTTTCTTCTATGAGCAAGAGAGATAGAGACAGAGACATAGATACAGTACCCCAATAGGGTCTTGATGCCAAGAATCACCCTCAGCCTCAACCAGCCTCAGATCATGGGCACATGCGTGCCTCATGTATTCAGAGAGGTCTTTGGACATGAACTTGGAACCTTCTTATGTGGTTCTACTTCACAGAGCATCATGTTTTACTATTATACCATCCAACATCTCCTTTGGAAACTTTCAAACTTAAGAGAATTCTGATCCATTCACCGAGTTTTTACTAAGTCTTGTGCTGGGCCACAGGGAGAGAGAGAGGATGACATTATTATACTTTCATCAGCTTGTAAGTAAGCTGGAGAGACAAGACTTGCTGGTGCTGTAGCAATTACAGAATGATGTAAATCAGGGGCTGAGTAAGCATTCTCTCAGAGGCAAGGGTGGCAGATGCTAGATGGTCTTGCACATGGCTTTGCCCCACCATCACCCCCTTTCCTTCCCTTGATAGCATATGTCATTTGGATCAGCCAGACAATTGTGGTGATGAGTTTGTAAATGGTGCCTGTGAAAACAACAGCAATGGTGGGGTACAAAGGTAAAGGACTCACTCTCTTTGGATGAGAGACCTGGGCGTACACAGTATTCCCAATAGAGACTGAAGCATACTCTACGTTCCTCACAGACTCTGCTGACAACACAAGAAGGAATGGTCAGTGGCAGAAGGGCTGAAGGACTCTGAACTATCCTCCCCTCCTCCCAGGGCCTTGCCTTCCCCAGAGCAGTTTCTGTCCCCAAATGGAGGGAGAAGGCATTGCTTTTCTATTTTTCTTTCATTTTTGACAGTATTTGGAATTCTGAGAGTTCTGGAAGCTTCTTAGTCATGTGGTCTATTTCTGACCTCATCTTGTGGGGTGAGAGATGGCCGTTGGGTGACCTAAAGTTTCAGCATTCCTCCCCCAAGCACAGACTTCCATGTGAGCTAGGAAGTTCTTGAGGCCAAATAGCACCGCCTATAGAAGAGCTAGAGACACCTCACTGGTGAGCATAAAGAAGTCAACTATTTGCCATACTTGATGTTATTAAACCTTCCAGAAACCACTTGAAGGTGGATTTGACTGTTTTTGAGATGAGCAGTAACCTGAGGCTTAGAAAGCTCGATTCACTTGTGCAAAGTCACAAAGGAAGTGATGGAATAGGAACCTGAATGCATGTCTTCAGAGTCCAAAGTCATGCCTGTTCCTCTACGTGATGGCATGTATCTCTCACTCATGAAATGAGACTGTAAGCCAGTCTGAGTCCAGAGCTGGGGTTGGTTTCTAGACCACACTTTCTCTCTCAGCAGTGTCTATTCATTACTCAAACCCTGACTGAATAGGATGATGCAGTCAGGCAGCTGATCACGGGCTGTCAATGTTTCAGTCCTGCCCTTGCCCTAAGCTTGCTGGGTGATGATGGACAGGCCACGAGCCCTGCACCGGCATGGGTTTCTCCATCAGCAGGGTGGGGAGTGGCACCATGTATGTGAGAGGGTTGCACCATCATGAGGGACTCAGGCCCATGGTCACAAAACACCTCCCCTCGCACCATGTGGTCTGTCTGAGTGACAACATCCTGACTCCTTCCTCTTTCTCTCTCACTACCCAGGTGTTCGGCCATCCCCTTCCTCTTCCATTCAGCGATTCCCATCTGCCTTATGTCTGGGAGTTGAGAGTCTGGGTGCTCACCAGGACTCTGAGTTTGCTGGGAAGACACATGATGGGAACCTGAAAAATCAAATCAGAACATTGATGTGGGGGGCCGTAGTGAGGGAGGCCTTCCACTCCACCCCCACCCCAACCCCACAGGTGTGTCTCTAGAGGTGGTGGTGAAAGAGGACCCAAAAGGAGGGACAAGTGTGCCCTGAGGCTGGGACCGGCCTTTCCCAATAAGACACTTTCTTTGAGATATTAGCAGGTGTGTTGCCACCCCCAGGAGCATCCCAGTGGACAAGCTGAGCCAGGGTTTGTGTCCTCCCTCCATCTTCCTGCCCTCCACAACAGATCCTTGGGAACCAGACTCTAGACTCTAAATCTTTGGAACCTCTGTGAAGAGACAAGTAGGAAGAAAGAAAACCTGCCTCTTTTTTTCCTCCAGACACAATAGAGCACGGCACATACAATGATGACTATTATTATCATCACTGGAATCGTAATCCGTATGAAATTTGAGTGTTGGTTTTTCGTAACATCTGAAAAGAAAAAAAACAAAGTGGCACTTGAGACACATCAGGGAGCCTGGAGTTTTTTCTCAGAGCCTCCAATGAGCCTCTTCTAGGCTGCCTTTGAGGGCTGGGTGGGTTCGTCTATAGCCAGAGGTTCTGGGGCTCTGGACAGGATTTCCAGGAGCGGGGAAAGTGTGGTGGCCAGGGCAGAGGGGAGCCTGTAGAACTGGGGGAGAAAGCAACCCTGCCTTTGGCAGTCTTTGCTCTTGGGCTCTGAGTGAGCTGGAGGAGGAAGGAGGAAGGAGGAAGGAGTGATCTCTGTGGGTGGTGAGAGGAACCCAGGTCCTGGGTGGCATCTGGGCCTCCCATCGGCATTTGGCTGTCCCCCCACCCCCACCCCATGGAGCTGCTGTTTTGGAAATGTAGAGTGAGGACCTGCTACACCCCACAACTTCTTGTGGCCATCAGACAGGCCTGAGGGGGACAGTGGGGCTCTAGGTAACGTGGGATAATGGATGTGTTCATTATTTTGAATGTCGTGATTGTTTCATGGCTTGTACGTAAGTTAAAATATACTCAATTGTACATTAAATGTACATAAGAGAGAGAGAGAGGGATCCAAGGCAGGCTGTTACCTTCACAGAGCCTCTGGGCAGAGACGGAGAAGCTCAAATTGCTGATGGGGTTCTCAGCGTTGCATGTGTAGTTCTGTTCGCTAGAATTCCTGGGATCCCAGGAGGCAGTAAGGTTTGGTCCATTCAGAGGTGACATTCCTGGGGCCTGCCACTTGAATGAGTCATTGTCTGAATTCTCCGCCCAGCAGGCCAGTTGGATCTCACAGGTCCCGTTCTCAGACCACTGAGTGTGATTGGTAACTTGTATGTTCTTTAGTTGTCCTGTGTGCAGAGAAAAGACCCAGAGTAAGAACAAACGACTTGTCTTGGGCCCCTGTGAAAAATATCTTCCACCTTAAAGTTTCTGTATTCCATTTCCGCTGTGTGCTGTCTGTCTACTCTGCTATGCCTCTGTTTGAGTTGCTTAGTTGATGGGAGCAAGGCCTGGGGTGATCCAATAACAAGGGGTACTATTATGGGACAGAGCAGCCAATAGGAGACGTGGAAAGGGAGAGATTGCAGTGGCCACTGACTGGCCATAGTTGGATAATTTTGGGTGGGTTTGTTTACCTTTCTGGGCTCCATTTTATTCCTTCTGGCCCTTGGACAAGGGGACCTATACGTAAGTTCATGGAAAATGGAATTCAAGTATGAGTTTACGCTGGTGCAAAATTTTTTTGAAATCTGTGCACAGTTTTTCATGATACACATTTTTCTGGAAGGTGTTTGAAGACCACACTTGTATGCAGCCCCTTGTATAAAGACAATTGAGAGACATAGCTGAGGTTAGGGAAGAAACCAAGAGACCAGCACAAGCCCTTCTCCCTCTGTCATCAGAATTCCCTAACTGGGGTGGACGATGGCGCTTCACTTCCTTAGGGAATTGTGTTCCTCACAAATCTGCAGGGATCCTGTTTCTCACTATATCTGACACTGGCTCCAATGATGAGAAAAGGGCCTCAATGCAGAAAAATACTGACAATTAGAGAATTAGAGAAGGAGGTGACATTCCTGGGGCCTGCCACTTGAATGAGTCATTGTCTGAATTCTCCGCCCAGCAGGCCAGTTGGATCTCACAGGTCCCGTTCTCAGACCACTGAGTGTGATTGGTAACTTGTATGTTCTTTAGTTGTCCTGTGTGCAGAGAAAAGACCCAGAGTAAGAACAAACGACTTGTCTTGGGCCCCTGTGAAAAATATCTTCCACCTTAAAGTTTCTGTATTCCATTTCCGCTGTGTGCTGTCTGTCTACTCTGCTATGCCTCTGTTTGAGTTGCTTAGTTGATGGGAGCAAGGCCTGGGGTGATCCAATAACAAGGGGTACTATTATGGGACAGAGCAGCCAATAGGAGACGTGGAAAGGGAGAGATTGCAGTGGCCACTGACTGGCCATAGTTGGATAATTTTGGGTGGGTTTGTTTACCTTTCTGGGCTCCATTTTATTCCTTCTGGCCCTTGGACAAGGGGACCTATACGTAAGTTCATGGAAAATGGAATTCAAGTATGAGTTTACGCTGGTGCAAAATTTTTTTGAAATCTGTGCACAGTTTTTCATGATACACATTTTTCTGGAAGGTGTTTGAAGACCACACTTGTATGCAGCCCCTTGTATAAAGACAATTGAGAGACATAGCTGAGGTTAGGGAAGAAACCAAGAGACCAGCACAAGCCCTTCTCCCTCTGTCATCAGAATTCCCTAACTGGGGTGGACGATGGCGCTTCACTTCCTTAGGGAATTGTGTTCCTCACAAATCTGCAGGGATCCTGTTTCTCACTATATCTGACACTGGCTCCAATGATGAGAAAAGGGCCTCAATGCAGAAAAATACTGACAATTAGAGAATTAGAGAAGGAAAAAATGAAGAAATTAAGAGAGTCAACAGGCAAGTCGAGGGAGCAAAGAAGCACAGTGTATTTGGATATTTGAGATGAAGTATGGCGCAGAAATTTCTGAGAACAGAGACTAGAAAATATGAACTAGCAGGAATCAGTAGCTGTAAACCAAGGGAGACCTGAGAGCAACACAAAAAAGACCACTGACCAGCCTTGGCCTGAGGATCAAGGTGACTCAGCAAAGAACAGAATGTCTCCAACCATCTGACTAACAGAGACTAGATAATGCTTTAACCTTAGCCGACTGAATGGGAGCTGTGGAATACGCATGCTTGTATCTTGTCAGAATGGGGTTTTCATGTGATGGGAAGAGTGTTGGGTTTGGAGTCCGGAAGGCGTGGATTAAGATCATGGCTTTGTCATTTACTGGACATATGACCGTAGACAAATGACTATTACCTCTGAGCTTCAGTTTTTTAACCCATAAGACTAGGAAATAATCCCTGCTTCTCAGGTCACTATGAGGATTAAATGAGACAGTACCTAGCACAGGGATGGCAAATATTTGGCATGAATGTTACATCTCCTTCCTTCTGTGTTCATGGTTGACCTAAAAAATAATTCCTTTTACCTTTTTCCACTTAATGAATATTTACCTCCTAATAGGACATTTCTACCTAGAAATAATGTATATCTAAAACTCAACATGGTTAAAAGGACTCCCTTTATTTTTCTGTCTAAAATTTTCTCAGTCTGCAGCCTTCCCCATCTTAGTTGATAACAACTTGATCCTTCTAGTTGCTCAGACCAGAAGCCCTGGAATCATCCCTGACTCATCTCTTCAGCTCATATCCTCATGTCAGGAAATCCTCGTGACTTTACCTTCAAAATATATCCACTCCTCACCTCCACAGCTAAGCCCCCTTGTTCAAGATGGCATCGACTCTTCTTGGATGATGGCACTGGCCTCCTAATTGCTTCATTGGCTTCTACCCTTGTCCCTTAAACCTATCCTCAACCCATTAACCAAAGAGCCTTAAAACAAAGAAGTCAGGGGCTAGTAGATGGCGTAGTGGTTACATCACTGGACTCCCCCATAGCTGATCGTGGTTTGAACCCTTGACCCAGTGACTTGAAACACACGCCAGGTGTTTGTGTGTGCTCAAGATCATGGGAAGAGAATGGAGGAAAAAGGATTGCAGTGTGGCCATCTCCTCATGGGGTGATTTCTCACTTTCCCTCTCACTGTCTCTCACAAGAGCATGTGCCCGAGGGCAAAAACCTCTTTAAAAACAATGACAACAACAAACCCAAGAAAGTCAGACTCTATCACTTCTTTGAAAAACCTTCTGATGGCCCTCACTCTCTCTGAGAGAACAGGCCAAAGTCTCTGGGGTGGCTTTCAGTGCCTTGCATAAGGTGACTACTATCTCCTTTCTGACCTCACTTCTTGTTATTCTCACTCTCACTCTGCTGCATGATGCTTGGTCTCTGTGGTGTTCCTTGAGCACAACAGGCACAGGGGAGTCTTGCTACCTCAGCTAGTTGACTCTTTCCAGATAGCTGCATGGCTCACTCCTTCACTTCCCACAAGTCTCAGCTCAATTGTTATCTTTTCAACAAGGCTTATTTTGACAGCGACCTCTAACATAGACTCATGTTCTCTGGCACTCCTGAGGCTCTTTGTGCTTTTCTAATCCCTCTTTTTCCATAGTACTCATGGTTTTCTTGCATATTATAACATTGCTTCTATATTATGTGTATTTTTTATTACCTGCCTCCACTCCCCACCCAGAGAGCAGTTCCGTGGGGGCAAGGGTCTTGTCTGTTTTGTTAACTGATATATTCCAAGCACTTAGAAGATTTTTCATGGCCAATAAGTATTGGTGACTCATGAATAAACTTAACATGGATTCAACATCTTTCTTAACACTGAACTCTAGGGAGTTACTCTCAATTCATTGGGCTTGACTCCTAAGATCATAAGATCAAGTCTTTGTCTTCTCTATCCTGGCACACAATGAATGATTGGTCAATCTTTTTTCAATTTTTAAAAAACTATGTGTAGTTCTTATGTTAAAATTTATTTTACAATCACAAAATAAGTTGATGTGGCTTGTGTATGTTTTTGTACGTGTGCCTTTTAAGGAGAAGTACTCCAAAAACCCAGAAAAGGGATTGGCATTGAGCCTCTTGCTTGGTCTTCTCAATAGTATCAGAAGAACACTGTCTCAACAAATGTGATGAACATTGTCTCAAAAAAAGTGGCCCCCCAGGTATGAGGTCACTTCTTAGGCTTTCCACTGGATGCATCTTTCTTCTCTTTAGGGTCCTAGCACTGCCTTGAGAATCACCGGTCACCCAGGCTGATCCTGCCTTTAGTGGTTTGAATGATGATCTCCCTAGAATATGTCCATGTTCTGATTCCCAGAATCTGTGAGTGATACTTAATTTGAGTAAAGGATCTTTGCAAATAGAATTAAGTGGGTGAGGAGATCATCCTGGATGATCTGGATGGGCCCTAAACCCAATGACAAGGGTCCTTTTAGGAGAAAAGCAGGGGGATATTTGAGACAGAGGAGAAAGGGTGAAGAGGTGAAGAGGAGAAGATGTGACCTGGAGGTAGAGATGGGGATGTAGCCACAGCACAAAGAACACCAAGCAAGGCTGACTGCAGCCAGGAGCTAGAGGAGACAAAGAACAGACCGTTCTCTGGGGCCTCCAGAGGAAGTGCAGCTCTGCTCACACCTCGATTTGGACTCTGGCCTCAAGGACTCTGGGAGAAAATTTCTGTTGCTTTGAGCCCTCAGTTTGTGGTATTTTATTTATTATTTTATTTCTTTTTTCTTTTCTTCTTCCTTTCTTCTCTTTATTTCTTTCTCTTTTTTCTTGGGAGAGATTTTTGCTATAGGGCGCTTGCACTCGCCAGACAGACAGAGAGACATAGAGACAGAAAGCGAGAAATCACCCCCCCAGGGGGGGATGGCCACGCCACAATCCCTTCTCCTCCATTCTCCTCCCAGGATCTTTAGCATGCACGCACAAACACCCAGCATGAGTTTAAGCCACCGGGTATGGGACTCGAACTGCAGTTGACTACATGGGAGTCCAGCGACATAGCCATTACGCTAACTGCTGGTCCCTGTGGTATTTTATTTTATCAGGCTCTGGAGATTAATACCCTGTCCCAGGGCCATTTTGCTATCTTAGTTGAAATTTCCACTTGAGAACTTTTCCAGACACCTTCTCTTTCCCATCGCATTTCTCTATTCTTTGTCCTATTTTTTTTCAAAGACATGACTTCGATTAATCTAACATGGTAAGTCTGTCAAATATTTAGGGGAATAATAACCATGCAACTATTTGTGGAGACATATTATTTTAACAATGCTTTTTTGGGATACCATGCCTTAGCCCAAAGGACTCTTGGGTGAATTGTAGACACTGTGTGCTCTCTAGCAGGTGAGAACAGTACAATCTCAGCAGCCTAGTTGTCTTGTTTGGTTGCCAATTCAGGTATGACTGAATCTCCTGAATCTCCTGCCGAGTGATTATTGGTAAGTCATTCATGGCATTTCTGAACATCAGAAGTTTATGTATTTTTTCAGACACTGATTTGTAAGTTGCCTCATTATATTTTCCATCATTTTTATATTGATAACACTTTCATTCTTTACTCTTAGGGAGGTAGATTTTTAATGGGAGAGCAACATGAGCCACCTGGGGAAAATATTCTTAGAAATTATTGGGTTGTTGGGACCAGCAGGTGGCATGGTGGTTAAGGTGCTGGACACTCCCACACGGCTGACCACAGTTCAACTCCTGGACCTGGTGGCTTGGTTTCTCATTTTATCTCTCTCTCTCTCCTTTCTCTCTCACTTTCTCTCTCTCTCTCTCTCTCTCTCTGTGTCTGATCAAATTAAAATAAATGAGGAAACGAGCAGTTAGCGTAATGGGTATGTTGCTGGACTCCCATGTAGTCTACCACTGTTCACGTCCCGCCGGACCTGGTGGCTTAAAACTCACACCGGGCGCATGTGCGTGCGTGCCCAAGATCCCGGGAGGAGAATGGAGGAGAGGGAGGAGAATGGAGGAGAAGAGATTGCGGCGTGACCATTCCCCCTGGGGGGTTATTTTTCGCTTTCTGTCTCTCTGTCTCTCTCTGTGAGTGCACGCGCCCTATAGCGAAAATCTCTCCAAAAAAAAAAACCTATAAAAAAAGGAAAAAAAACCTGAAAAAAAGAAAAAAATTTAAAATAAATGAATAAATAAAATTGAATAAATAATTATAAAAAAAGAAATTATTGGGTTGTCATGTGAGTCATGATGTATTTTTGCATCGTGTTCTTTGTCTCTTCCAGCTCCTGGCTGCTGTCAGCGTTCCATTACTTGGTGTCCTTTGTCCTGTGGCTTCATCCCTATCTCTACCTCCATGTCACATTCCTTAATATAACAACTAATCTTGGCAGAAAGGACAGTTCTTTTTGTTGGCTCTTCCTTACAGAGCACTTTCTAGGCAGATCTGTTCTGCACAGACTGGCCGCTCTGTGAGGTTGGGTTGGCCTTTGCATAAGGTGAGGTATCATGGCAGGGCAGTGGCGTGGGACGCACTACCACGCACCATCTCTTGGACTAGAGGCCAGTTACCATGACCAAAGCTATGCCTCAGAGGTAAGGATTGTACCTGTCTCATGGAGGCTTTGTAAGCATTGCACGACAGAGACATGTGATGCATATGGTGACAGTATCATAAATATTTTACTTTCGTTACCTCTGCTCCTTTTCTGGTTGAAAGGGACCATTTTATGTGGTTAAGAGGAGGGAGATGATTCTAGGCTGAGAGCCACAAGACTTGGGTTCTGTTCTCAGCTCTGTCACTAGCTGGTGTGCAATGCTGTTGAGTTGCTTTACTGCTGGACTGCATTCTGAATCCAAATGCCATACTCTTTACCACTAGGCTATATTGCAGACTTGCAATCACATAGGACAGAAATATGTTTTCAAACCAAACTTAATGAAATCCCACATTTTGACTCACTAAAGATCCTCAGAATATAGCTGGAAAGCCACGTGGAGTTTTCTGTGGACATCTGGGTGCTGTAAGGTCCAGCGTCTGCCATCGTCAGGTTGTGGAGCTGCACGGAGTCAGGATAAATGAAGTTCAGTCGTGTTTTCCATTTAGGATCGGTCACGTGTGCACGTCCTGCTTCTCTCGGGTTTATGAAGGCAATAGATCTTCCACTGTGAAGCACGATGATGGATGTGATGTCCTCGGGCTTCCCTCCTGTGGGAAACTCCAGGGGAAAGGTTACCGACTTCCCCAGAGTCCCGTTCACTACCACTGGGGTTGAGCTGGGTTGTGAAACTGCATTCCCTGTAAACACAGAAGAAAATGCTATAAAACTGTCCCTAGTACCTCCTCCTATGATTTGAATGTGTTTCTCCAAAATTCAGGTGTTTAAATTTAGTTGCATTATGAAGGTATTAAGAGGATCGAAACTTAATTCAACAATACTATTAAGAGGTACAGCATTTGGGAGGTGATTAGGAGTAGATGGGGTCATCAGGGTGGGGTTTTCATGACTGAATCCTAGGTGCTTTATAAGAAGAGGAAAAGACCAGAGCCAATACACGCTGTTGTCTTTCTGCAATGTGATGCTGTACACCAACTCTGGATTGTTCAGGGAGTGCCCACCAGCAAGAAGACGCTCAACAGAAGTGGCCCCTTGACTCTGGAGTTTCAAAACTGTGAACTGAATAAATCTCGATTCTTTTTTTAAATTGCCAGGCAGTGTGTGCACTTGTGTGAGAGAGAAGAAGGGAAAGGGAGAGGGAGAGAAAGAAAGCACTCCTGTGCATGTGGCCATGCCACAATCCTTTCCCTCCATTTCTCCATCCTGTCAGAAGTTTAGATATGCACACACATGTACTTGGTATGTTTTTCAAGGTGCTTGGGCTGGACTGTGGTTAGCCACACAGAATCCAGCTTCCTACACACAGTGCTTACCACTATGCTATGGGGCCAGCCCTAAATCTTCATTCTTTATAAATGACCCAATCCATGGTATTCTGTTCACAGTAACAGAGAGTAAATTAAAACACCACTTTCTCATACTCTTCCCTCCTGACTCTGTCGGTCTGTTAGAGCTTTCTCTGATACTGAAGCCCAGAGATGAGAAGGAGTGAGAAAGGCTAGAAGTTAAAAAGCAAAATTGCACCCCAGCACCTCCACTCTAAACAAAGTATTTGGCATTGTTGGCTAATGAGCAGCTGGTGGAGATGATTCTGGCTCAGTTGATTTGCCTATACTGGTTGGTCACTCCCGGGTTATGACCTTTCCTTATGATCCCGGCTTCTGAGTTCTTTGGGCATTAGTGGAGGGGGACAGGGAACTACATCAACTCTCAGGCACAAACTAAATACTGCAAGTCTTGGGGCCAGCAGATGGCACAGTAGTAACATCCTTGGACTCCCCCATGGCCGACAGTGGTTCGAGTCCTGGACCTGGTGGTTTGAAAATCATGCTGGGTGTGTGTGCATGTGTGCCCAAAATCTCAGGAGAATAGAGGAGAAGGGGTTGTGGTGTGGCCATCCTCCTGCTGGATGATCTCTCACTTTCCCTCTCGCTATCTCTGTCTCTCTCTCTCTGGTAAGCACACGTGCTCTACGGCAATAACTTCTTAAAAAACCAAACAAACCTGTGATTCTTTGTTAATGAAATGTAGTGAAAGCCCTATAGTCACTGGTTATGCACTGCATGTCCCATGTAGTAGGCTTATACAACTTAGAGGACTAATAGGGATTTATCGCATGTATAATTCTTACCATTATTTCTTTTAATGCTGACAATGATTCCGTAAAACAGGCAGGAAGGATATTATTATCTCCACTTACAGATAAAGGAGTTGAGACACAGGGAGGGTAACTTAGTTTCCCAAGTTTATATAGCTGAAGAAAAGCAGAGTCAGGATTCAAATGTGGATCTTCTGACTCCAACTGTTTTGTGCTCTTTTCATAAAACCAGAAGATATCTTTTCTGGTGTCAAGAAAATTAAGCCTAGTAGTCGAGAAGATAAACTGATAAGTATAAAAGTAGCACATTTAATTTCAAAGTGACACAAAATGGCCACATTCTTATGAGCCTATCTATCACAGAGCCATCGGTGTCAAAGCAAAAGTGGTCACAATGACTTGCTTTTAAGTTTATTTATTTGTCATGCACAAGAGAGAGAAAGAGAGAGACTGACATGCAGACAGAACTCTCAATAGGGTCTTGACACCATGAGCCATGCCTAGTCCTTACCAGCCCCCAACCATGGGCACACACATGCCCAGGACATTGAGCGAGGCCTCTGGACACAACCCAGAGCTTCTCATGTAGCTTTACTGCTGTGACACTCCTCTCCCCATGACTCTTACAGACATTTCCTTAGCATCCTTTGCCAAATTCTTTTTTTTTTTTAGTTTATTTACTTATTTATATATTTTTTCAGAGATTTTTTTTTTTTCCCTATAGGGCACGCGCACTTGCCAGAGAGACAGAAAGCAAGAAATCGCCCCCTGTGGGGGATAGGGGGGATGGCCAAGCCATAGTGACTCCTCCTTCATTGTACTCTC